TTGATGAGTATAATTGAAACGTACTCTCGTCTGTAAAAATTACCTTATTCCAATCGAAATTACGATGTTTCTTTGCCCATTTCAACCGTTTTCTTTGATGGTCATCTGTAAGCAAAGGTTTGAGAATTTCATTAGAATACTTACCCCCAGCTTCACGAAGACGCCGTTTTACAGTATCCACACTAATCTCTACACTACGCTCTTCCAATTTTTTTTTGATTTCAGTGGCTGTTATATTGTGTTCCTTCTCCGCCATTCCTACAATTCGCTTGTCTTGCTTCGCCGTTGTAACACGTGGTCGACCCGGCCTTTCGCTAGTACTTAAATCCGGGTTTTCGTGGTATTTTTTCACCCAATAAATGACTGTAGGCTTACTACAGTGAACATGCTTAGCTATTTTCCCAAAACTCCACTTTGGTCCAGCCGCATGTTCACGCAGGAAGACAATTTCATACCGCTTTTCGAGTGAAAGTTCCATATTTTAAGTCGAAAAGTTTGACAATTCATCTGACCCCTTTAAAAATGGTTTACAAACTTATAAAAGTGCGTGTGATCACGCATTGTGTTACACTTTTTTTCAGGAAAATTTAAGGGGTTGTTATTATGTATGTTCATGTGATACAGGCGGTAGGATACTTTTGCACGTTACTGTACTTTTACATCATATAAGTAAATTCGTCTTTAACACTCAGTGAGTTGAACAAAAAATAAAAACTTATTAACCTTATGTTACGATTTTCATACGTTGTTGGCTTGTATATATAATTAAAAAAAAAACATTCATTGATCTATGATCGTTAACTTTGGTGGACTGAATGAGTTTTTGTACGGTGCGAACACTTTCTTCGTTATATCCAGTGTGTATATAATTATTTCTTTCACAAATTGGCATCGAACGTTGTTTATTCATTAGATATATAATATAGAGTCTTGATGATTGTTGCATAAATTTCGGTTTATCGTGGATACTTTTCTTGGTGCAGCAGAAAAGCTTTATAAACAAATTCGTATCCTTCGTACATTTTATTTATTTTAACAGATAGAACTCTTCGGATTTCTATTAATTGTCATAACAAGTACTGAAATATCACACCTATAATATAAAACAGTCATGGTTAGGCATTTTGTATCGGTTCAATAGACAACAAAACAATTTATAGGCCGTATTTTGTACATTTAAAATATCATAGTATTGCTAGTGAATCAGTAAAACGATAACTTTAAAAATATGGCGTCGAAGGTGTCGTTATATTGAGCTTTCTCTAATATTCAAGTTTCATGTATACAATAAGTAATTTGCTCATATCATGAAATGTTTATTGGCTTGCAATCATATCCATATCGGTCATACACTAATAGTAAAAAAAAACAAAAAACAACGACATTACAGTCACAGTATATTTTAATCAGAAGAAACCTGGGTTTGTCACGCATGATAGTGTGCTTTCCAGCTTTAACGCATAATTATTATTGAAAAATCAAAATTCGCTACATGTTTTTATGCATGTGATATGGTTGCCGTAAATTTTTGATGTCGCAAACATCCAATAATATCTCTTCGAACTTAATCGGTAATTTCATGTATAAGTAGCTACTAATTTAGGGATAGGCTGCTCCTGTTTTCGCTTCGAGTATGTTAGTAAATTTATTGATGAAAAAGTATTCGTCAGATACCTAACGTGCGCGGCTTCTCTTGACATTATTCTAAGCGTATACTCGGTTAATTTTGATAGTTAGTTCCGCTATTTTCCAATTCATATTAATCCTTGCTGGGCAAACATTCTCATCAAAAAGTGAGTTACACTTTTTCTTATTTGAGAAATAAACCCATTTTCAACTATTCGAGACAGTGAATGCGATTGACTCTGGAGAACAGTATTCAATCAATTAGCTAGAATATTTACATATTGTCTACGTATGTATTCTCTCAACCGCTGACCTTGCATACCAGTAAAAGGAGTGTTTGGGGCTTCAAGGCACTAAAACGCACGCTCGAGAATGTGTTTATTAGGATTTCACAATTGTTTTCATATGTAATAGTAATACACCTTACGCTCAAACGCAGACATATAAACTGACTAATTTCATCGTTTAATTCTAGATTGTTATGACGAATAAAACAAATTTAGATTAAAATAGAACCAGTATCTCTATTGTTAATATTGGCTTTCCTCCACTTGTTGTACGCATTCCAACGAATGCTTTTTTTCAAAATACAGCTTTGTTCATTTTCGTTTAACCTGCGTAATAATGTGACGTTATTCGCTGTGTTCATGCGCATTATAAAATTTTTTTCACATTCTTGTTTATTTTTTCCTGCCAAGATATGACTCTTCATTCGAAATCAAGATTCACAGGGTATACCAACCAAGAGTAAAAAAACTTACTGGGTAGTGACGTCATCATAAGATACAAAAGTGTCACAATTAAGTTTGTGCTTACAAATGTTGATTGCGGGGGAGAAGACATTAAGACTATTGACTAGCAAAAGGATGAGGCAAAAGTAAAAAAAGGAAATGAGAAAGGATATATCCATACATATACCAAGTCATTATTGGAAATTATTCGCACTTGTCCGATTGAATTAACTAATTTCAGTCTAGAGATCTGCAAAAAAAGCATTCGCCCTGGCTAACGCATTCAAAAATACCCGTTCTCAAGGATGGTTAAATGAACCCTATATGAAATAACGATCACAATTATATCATACTTCGAACTCAATACGCGTATATGAAATAGCATGGAGGGAAAATTAAGTTTAGTATTTTCATGTAAGATTATCAGTTATTGCAGATCCATCCTTTGTGCCACCGGTGACAAATATGCACATGGCCACAACAAATACTCGATTGCCTTTTTTGACAATCATTCTTAACTGCCTTCAAGTTAGACGCCGTTTTATTGTCACACTGTGTTATGTTTGCCGATGAGTCATCCCGGCTGAAATACAACATGCAAAGCCTATCTATACTGGAATGTTGGGACTATCAAGTAAATACTCGATAGACCTTAAACAGACTGCACGAGCAAAAGTTTCGACGGAGAGGATGAGCCGGTATATCGAGTAAATAGATAGTGAGGATCTTAAAAAGGATATATTTGGAGAAAGAACTATTGAAATTGATATATTGGGAAGTTCCGGTCAATCATCGATAGTACTAAATTTCCAATATGGTATATCAAAGTGAGGGGCGATAATGCTTACTAATGCTGCAAAAAAGGCTGTCGTTTTTTCGAGGCAAAACTACTTATAGAAATGGGATAATGGTTTCATGTGCTATTCATGCATTTCAAATTTCGGATTGATAATACTATCAGTGTAACGTGATACACATTCGACATTATGGTTCAAGATGGTGCAATATAAGATCCTGAAATTTTTTTACTTTCTCGAGATTACAGCAAGAGGCTGGTGATCAAAGGTCCTATCTATTTATCTCTACAGCTGTAACAAGACTATACTAAAATTTTCGTCGCAAAATTCTGTAATCACACATCGAGCCTGCTCTCACTTTCCTATTCACTCTATTATCCTCATACACATGTCTGCATACGGGTCGCTAGTAGTTGGCTGGAGACTGGAGGGTCGTCATGTTTTGGTTATTGGTGGCAATCAAATAGCAGCAAATCGCATAGAATTTGCTTTAGACGCTAGGCCAATATCGGTTACTCTTATCTATCCGCGCAGCCAGATATCATGTCAACGGATACTGGAACTCGTTGTCAACAACACCATCACCTACCATGACAAAAAATTCAATAAAAGTGACTTGGAATCAAAGAGATTCGATTTAATTTTGACGGCACTTGACGATGCGGACTTGTCAAAAGAGATTGCATCAGTTTCGCGTGATTATCGCATTCCAATTAATGTAGCGGAGATACCATCCTTATGCGATTTTCTATTTATGCCAACATTTAGAAACGGACATCTACAAGTAGCAATATCAACGGCAATCTCATCCACAACGCAACACATTGCTCATAAACTACGACAACACGTGATCGAAAGTTTGCCCGACGACAAAGAAGTAGTGGCGGCCGTTAACAACGTAGCTACAATAAAAGACGCTCTAGGGGCGACGTATGCCGTTGCATTAAGCAAGATAACTTCATCTTTACAGCTCACCAAACTCGCCAAGTTGTCAGAAGATGATATCAGACGACTGATTGCCGAGTATATCGTATCGGGAGTATCAGATGAGGATGAAGCAGACAAGGTGTCCAACAGCAGCAATGATGAGAAAAAGTCTGATGTGACCGTAATCGACGAGCATGTTGATAATCAAATAACGCTCAAGTCACGTATTAACGATATTTTATTTAATCCAAACGGAAGTCTCTTGGCTAGTGGCGGAGTACACTTTATAGATGGAAAGACATCAACAGCGTATATCGCTTATGCTATGAGTAATACACTGTTTGTATATCCAGCTACGAGGACTAATTACAATGGGCGAGTCGCAGAAGATTGGTCATCAAAGAGTCTGCCTAATGCGTTCGGACGTCAGAGTCAAGTGGTTAGGATGGAGACTAGATCGGGAGCAGCATTAGCGATAACCGGTGCGGCGTCAACATCGACAGATGGAGGCATATCAGCGCTAGCCACCTCTCAATCGATCGTAGCAATGATACCTAACCTATATGCATTAGTATACGAAAACGTGCCATTGGTTCTTCACGTTGCTGCTTATGCATATGATGACGAGATGAATATTATTGCCGATTATTCCGACGTACTACTTGCATGTGAGACAGGAGCTGCCATCCTCTTCTCGTTCTCGGCACAGGAAACTCACGACATGGCACTAATATCTCATTTGGCTGCGACTGTATCTAAAACACCATTCGTACATGTGTTTGATGGTGTGAGAACGGCTCATCGGTTCACCAAGACTCAATTGATTTCACACAAGGATATAGCCAAGTTATTAAATGATGTTGGAAGAAAAGTATCATCTAGTGGCTCAATATCTACTGTGAAGGCAATTGAAACTGTCATTGGTGCAGTTGGAAAAGCGACCGGTAAAACATACAAATTGTTCGAATATTATGGGGCCGATGACGCAGAGGTTGTAATAATAGTTACTGGTGGAGAAAATGATATAATCAGAGACGTAATGAGCCAATTCAAAGGATCCGGTGACAAAGTTGGAGCTGTGCTTGTGCGTGTCTATAGACCGTGGTCAGAAAAGCATTTCTTTGAAGTATTACCAACTACTGCAAAATGTATTATAGTTTTGGAACAAGCATCCAATATTGATGAAAAATTGGGCTCATCACTATTCACCGATGTAGTATCATCAGTTCGTTCTACCAAATGGAAAGGAACACAACCTTCAATAATCAATACGAGATATTCGCCATCATTAATCTTTACCCAGCAAGCGGTCAGACACATACTCAAACAGTACAAGTCAGGCGAGAAGATTAGCACTGAAAATATCTCGGAACCATCAGCACCCGACATGACTCCATCCAAACCCGAGTCTGATACGAAACACTGTATATTTTGGGATGCTGAGAGCACCGATACTGTTCAAGTCGCAAACCACCTTAGCAGTATATTATCTACATCGGCTCAGCTGAATGTCCTAAGTTACTCCAACTACGATATTTATAACAATGGTGGCGTTGTCGAATCACACTTGTATTTTGGAGCGAGCAAAGTCCTCGATGACAACAAAGCAGATTATATCACAATACACGATACTTCACTCATTAGTAAATACGACATTCTCGGTGCAGCAAAGGCACGGTCGATTGTCTTGTTGAATACCAATTGGCCGGTTGATGAACTAGACACTAAATTGGCTAACGACTTTAAACTGCGAGCAGCACAGAAAGAAATTCAATTGTATGTTATTGACGCCGAAAAGATTGCTCAGGAATTATCTCTATACCCGAATGCAACTAATATTGTCCTACAATCTGCCTTGCTGAGCTTATATAAACACGAATTATTAAATAGTAATATTAAACACGTAATCGCGTCGTTGTACGAAGGCAACAACGAGAAGGAAGTTGCTCGCATAATACAATCAGTTATCGACAGCACTAAAGCATCACTCACGCGGGTAGACGTACTTCCGACATGGTTAATATTGGAGGAAAGTGGCCAAGCACTTCCATCTACAGTCGTTAAGAATTCATTTGACCGTAATTTAGATCAACCAGAAACACCAAAACCACAATCATACACATGGCATACAGCCGCAAAGCTTCTATTATTCAAAGAGGCATATAATACAACACAAAAGATACGCCCCGATCTACCAGAGAAGACTTTCACTGTTAAAGTCATGGAGAACCGAAGACTAACTCCAGCAAGTTACGAGCGCTATCTATTCCATATAGAATTCGACACTACTGGAACGGATCTCAAGTACGATTTGGGTGAAGCTCTCGGAGTATATGGTCATAATGACACTGACGAAGTCAATCAGTTCCTAGCATTCTATGGATTAGATCCAGACAGAGTAGTGTCAATACCAGACAAGGACGGAACACATTATGAATCAAGGACGACATTCCAAATATTTTCCCAGATTCTAGACATATTCGGTCGACCGTCGAAGAAATTCTATGAAGCTCTTGCACAATACGCAACAGATGCAAACGAACGTAAACAGCTACTGTGGATTTCCAACACCGAGGGCACAGTCGAATTTAAACGTCGTGTTGAAGATACGGTCACCTATGCAGATATTTTGTACGAATTCACATCGGCCAAACCACCGCTAGAAGACTTGGTCCAAATCGTAGCTCCAATCAAACCACGTCATTATTCGATAGCATCATCTCAGAGCGTGCACCCGACCGGTGTTCATTTGTTGGTGGTCACTGTTGATTGGAAAACATCGACGGGCAGGAAACGATACGGTCAATGCACTCGATATCTGGCAGATCTGAAAGTAGGTGAAAGTGTGACTGTTTCCATTAAACCGTCTGTAATGAAACTACCACCACGCGACGAGCAGCCGGTAATAATGGCGGGATTGGGAACGGGCATGGCCCCGTTTCGAGCATTTATCGAAGAGAGAGCGTATAGGAAATCAAAAGGAATCAAGGTTGGGCCAATGATACTATACTTTGGGTCTCGTCATAGGTCAATGGAGTATCTGTATGGCGAAGAGTTGGAAGCGTATCATCGAGAAGGATTACTTACATATTTGAGGCTTGCATTCTCCCGAGATCAGGCGCACAAAATATATATTCAACATAAAATGCAAGATGATGCAGAGCTGTTGCATGATTTCTTGATGAAGGATGAGGGTTGGTTCTATCTTTGTGGACCTACTTGGCCCGTACCTGATGTGCGTGATGCTATCGTGAACAGTTTTGTCTCTTCAGGTGGAATGACGACTGGTGAGGCTGCTGATTGGGTTAACAAGTTAAAGGATTTGGAGCGATACATCTTAGAAGTTTATTAAAAATAATATGTACCGGAATGAAATTTTTGAACTACATATGATGTCTCTCATTTTAAGAATTTTTTTTACGTTTAGTAAGTAACATGTAATACCAGCTAGAAAAATTACTGTATTCTGATAACTAATAAAATTAGATATCGCCTTATTTTTACTCAACAATATCAAGATGACGTATATTACACTGTATATAGCATTTTATACAGATGTCGGTTACTGACCTGACAGTTCTTAGTTATTGACGCGTCTGTGAGGATTTTATTGCTGTTTAGGGTGTAGTTTGATGTTTCCTTTCCAAAGTTAGAATGGTAATTTAATTGTTTCAAGTGATGAAACGCGCGTAAGCGTCAGACTGGAACAGAAAAAGAATACCATGTCGCGCTCATTTACAACGTAGACATGATCCGATATGATAAGCCGATTGTCATTGTCACTGACATCGAAAGGCGCGAAAACTTGAGCGATGACAAAAATTTGGGGACTAGAATGACTATGGTTTGCAAGGAAAAGTACCACGATTATGTGTTGCCTGTCCTGTGATCTTTAATTCAACGATTGGGAAGACAAAAAAACTTGGGTTTAGCATTGTATATCGTTCGGTAGTTTCGAAAGATAAATCTGCCCACCCGTTCTCTCTCGTTTCTCAACGTGATATGGTAAAAAGCTTGGCCTTCGGTAGTCATCTGAGACGGTTCCAAGTAGAATTAATATTATTCTTGGCGATGATTCCTTATAAAGCGGTGTTGCTGTCTTTTGCCATAAGAAGTTCTGATCCGTACCAGCATTTCAACTACAAATTCTTACCTATCCACTCATGAGTGTGCTTTTCCCCGCTTTACAGTAGTGGTGGAAAATAGTGAGAATTTTACTCCTCAGTACAAAATTGTAGTAATCAATTATTAACTCCCCTCTTCAATGTCAGACACTTTTTCATGCCAGAACGTAAATTCGTTCGAATAGTATTAATTGATATTATCCAAATAATCATAAAAAGTTACTAATCTAATTAATTTTTTTGTAGAATACGTTAATTATCCTTTTTCTTCTATAGGGTTCAGGTGAGGTAAATAAGAAAATTAGTCAAGAATTTTTGAATATTTTCCTTTAAGTAGCTTCCTTGCTTTGGATCTTTATCTTGTTGGAAATCTTCTATCAGGTTTGATGCATTTGAGAAAAGATTTTTTGGATAAAACTCTATTAAAATCCAACAGCATTCTGTGAACAAAAAGCATCTTTCTGCAGTAAGTCTTCCTGAACATAATTTTGGCCTGATACTGAAAGTTTTTTGACATATTTATACAAAGTGGATATGTGGAATTCATGTTATCCTTATGAAGCTGAAATATGAAATACATTATGAATTCCATTTTCTCCATATTGGATCAATGTACGCTAGTTAGGCATTTTTTATGGGCAAAATTATGAAAGCAAACAAAAAAACGCGTTGCTGGTTCAAATATTATTTTATTTATACATTTGTTACCTGATGTAACTTTCTATATATAAATTGTTTCATAGTAAACAAAACAGAGAGCATGCCATTATTCTCCGCATAACACATTTTCGTAATAATTCAACATAGCAAAAAGTCAGGATCTTTCCAAGTGAATAACCAAGTCTGTAAGCCGCGAGAAACTGCCCAACGATGCTGATCGATCAATCCCTGGTTCAACTAGACAATAGGATAAAATTGTCAGCAAATTCTGTTCCATTGAAATACCAACACGGAAAATCGCTAATCCCATACCAATTTTCTTTGGTTGTAATGTATTTGTTGCAGCATCGTATATCCAGCCACGCTCAGCAGTAACTAATAGTGGAGATCGAAAGAAGAGAGAACATTAATTCCCACTCTCGACTCTACCGGATTCCGAGCGATGGATGATGACTTACCTTGAGCAACTCTATCTACAGGTACACCAATGAAATTTGACACTTCTTCGACTGTTATTGAAGAATATGCTTCTGACAAGAGAGCGAAAATACGTTCACGGAGAGTTTCTGCAAACAACCAGTAGTCAAATACGAGAAAAGCATATCGTAAGTAAAAACGATTATCAACTACAGAAAGAGGAGTAATTCAACGGTTACCTGCTACTTTCTTCATCAATGAACCGATCAACGGAGTCCAGGGTTTCTGTTCAACGGAATAATACACTGGTGTATAATCTCGCTGCCAAAGATCAGTAGCCACTTCCCAAACAGCACGTAACTGCTCAGACGAAGTTTTTATTTCTTCCGGTATACGCTTCCATAGGAAACGAGCCGAGGGACTAAGATATGCGAGAGAATTAGAAAGGAAATTACAAAATCAAAAGGAAAGGGGGTGGACTGTAAAATACTCACAGCTCGTTTTGTATTAAGTAAGCAGCGAGAAAGGCGCCATAAAACTCATCGAGATTAACACTGTCGTCTGGAGTTGCGGCCAACTGAAATAGTCGTAATCGAGCGAGCGAGTAAGCACCAACAGTTGACAAACACTCGCCAATAGCTAGGGAAATTAACGTTTATACTTTAAATTCTAATTCTTCACAGTATTCTATGAGCTTTGCGACTTCGTCTTGGTCAACGAGCTCCTTTAGATCTTCCATTGTGAAAGTAAAAATGAATGTGTCAAATGCCGCAGTATTTGAAGTGATAATCAGGCACGTTATTATTATATTAATATTGGGTATCAGATTTGTGTATAATGCAGAATTATAATATTAATATCTTATTACTAGTTTATATAATGCGAGAATAACTTTTAAAACTGATGTTTGCAGTAAGATAATGATCCAAACACTGTTCGAATATTGTAAAGGAGGAAACGGTGTTAAGGTCATTCCCATGCTCATCAAAAGAGAAAATGGAACATCTCTCATCGCTCGCTGTGGAAATGGTGACCATACAATGTATTAGTCATGTATTTTGAATAAAAAAATATTACTCGGTTACGCTAAAAGATTAGGTTAATATTAATTGACTGCAAAACACGGTATAATCTGTTTCATGTAATTAGGAGAAGGACGTGAGGCAACCATATGCTGTATACATGAGTATTGAGACTTGGAATAAAAATTTTATAGAACGTTTTAGTCCCTGAACCTAGCCAACTTTCGCAAGAAAGGAGAGCGCAATAGAGTGATTAAAGGCATTGTGCAATAGAAAAGGTCTGCTAATAATATTATTAAAAATAGTTTTGAGTATTCAGTAGCACACTCGTTTCCACATAATGATATTGATACAGACTATTCCCTATAACTCCACAGTTCTCGTCCATTTCTATAAATTTGAGACTTGGCCCCATAAAGCTCGCATGAAAGCTTGATAATATTTTATCATTGACAAATCATTGGGCCAAGTTCTAAATTATTTCCATGGCCTGATGGGCAGGAGAAAAGTGTGCACTTTTCACAATTATGGATTCAGAACATTATTTAGATAAATGCTTCAACATTGAGCAGCTTGCATTATCCTTTAAATGCATGATCTCACATTCTCAATGCTTTCAAGGAGAGTAACTGTATAGATTTTTACCTTGTTTCAAAGATTCGAGTATACAGTCAATCCTCCTTATAGTCACTCCCCCCCCCTATAAGCACCTCATATAAAAACCTCTTTATAAGCATATCTTCAACAAAAGTTCCGACATCGTGACTGTATATGAAAAAAGCACGTGGTTTCACAACGCGTAACATTATTTAAACCTCAAACAAAACAAACCTTCCTTTATTTCTCTTCATAATGGCGCAACAGCCTCACATTCAAAATATAGTTTGTGCTTTTCAACAATTAGCAACGGCGACTGCTAGTTTTCCAAACCTGTCCTCGGGCAACTATCGACAACAATGTCAACAAACACTAGTAAATCGTATGCATATTGTCATTGTTTTTGTTTTTTCTTCCTTAGAACATTAGCGTTAATAAGTCGTGCTTTTATTTAGCGGAGCAGAGAACGGCGCGTGTTGCGAATTTGAGAATTTGTGACAACGAAACCAATATCGAACCTTTATTAACGACAGCAAGAATCGCTTCACAAGACCACCACAAAAATCGGAACTTTACTTTTTACAACGTTAATGAATTATTTAGCGTGTACAATATACCGCTAGCTGAAAATCTCAACAACCACAGAAAACGCATTTCAAAATATTTAAAAATATTATTTGTCACATCGAACAGAAATTACCTAGCAAAATAGCATCAAGAAGTCGTTAAAGCTGTATCAGAAATGCGCACGTCTCGAAAGCAACGTTACGTAAAGGTATGATCGGCCTGGATTTGTTTATAAAGTTATTGTGTCAGATTACCATTTACGTATAGTTTTACTTATGCTGATACTTGGAAAACCCGAGGTCTAAAATAGAATGGCAAGTGTCTACCAGACTCAGACTACACGCTATAAACTCGTATTCTCCTAGCGTGTAGTTAGTTATACGTCCATAAGAATAATTGTATAAGCGCTGAGCATTGGGTTGAAAATCTGATATTCTAATATGTATTGTTGTAATGTGTAAATTAAATTTTACGTATTAGTATGTCATTTTTCAAGGTCGACCATTCCATGCTTTGAGAATAAGTATAATAGTTTTCTTTTGACTTGCAAGGCAGTAGTTTCCATAAAGCCGGCGGATTAAACTTTCTATTACATTGCTTTGTTAGAAGGACGGAACATATTCTTTTATGTTAGTTACAGACCAATCACAGCACTTTATTTTTCTTCTAAACCGACTCTCCTGAAGAACCAAATTAGTTGATTATATAATTATATCGTTATCGGGACAAAGACACTATTATTCCAAAATAGTCGTTTTCGGGTGGCACGTTTACTCACCACCGGCACAATCTGCGTTTCATAACTATCGATTTTACTTGTACGATTCTCTTTCTGATAACTTGTAGTTCTATCACGTACTGTTTATTGCGTAAGTGTTTAACCCGATATAGTAATAGCAATTTCTTTAATAGTTTATCCAAAAAAAGCATTCGTGTTCCACACGTCCTCATGCATTATCAAATTTCTCGAATTGTCCCCCGCACTTTCGTGACTCACATTATCCACAATCACAACTCTCGCTGTTTTCCCATTCATTTTTCTTTTCCTGTCTTCTCTTCATAGTAGTAGCCTAACACGAACAGTCCCCTTTCGCACCCCAAGTTTGAGTGAAAGCATCGTTACAAATGTCGGACGATGATGCAGTCCAAAACATTGTTGACGACGGTAATGTTGCCGATTACAAATCACGCATGGCCGAATGGGCTGCAAAAAGACGTGCTTTGCGCCTCAACCTTCGCGAAGAAGCTACAGCAGAGTCTTCTCCACAACCAGCAGAAGATCCCTTGGAGGAATCACACACCCCCCATCCAATAAAAGCCGATTTTGATCTTGGCCGCGGTATGAAAATTCCGGGCGACGTCTACAGTCGGCTCTTTGATCACCAGAAGGAAGGAGTCTGCTGGCTATGGAACCTCCATAAAAGAAACCATGGTGGAGTGCTTGCCGACGAGATGGGCTTGGGAAAGACTATCCAAGTTATCGCATTCTTGAGCGGTTTGTTGTACTCTCGTCAGCTTGGCAATAAACCAGTACTCCTTATATGTCCGGCTACTATTATGAATCAATGGGTCAAAGAATTTCATGAATGGTGGGCACCTTTCCGAATTTCCGTATTCCATGCTTGCGGTATGGCATTTAAGCATCAAAAGATGACACCAAGAGAAGTCAGAAAGTTTCTAAGAAACAATAATGGTTGCGGCTGTGTCATAATAACCTCTTACGACATGGCAAAAAAGTACCAAGGCGATCTCATACCATTTGAATGGGAATACGTTGTCTTGGACGAAGGCCAGAAGATAAGAAATCCCGACACCGACATCACACTTGCCGTCAAAAAAGTAAAAAGCAGACACCGAATATTACTCTCGGGAACTCCGGTACAGAACGATTACAAAGAGCTATGGGCAATCATGGATTTCATTGCTCCCGGAAAATTTGGAACCTTACCCGTATTCGAAGAGGAATTCGCCAAGAGAATAAAGACGGCAGGATACGTCAACGCATCTCAACTTTCCGTTCGTATCGGATATCATTGTGCAAAAAGGCTTGCGGAACGGATAAAACCGTACATGTTGCGAAGAACAAAAGAAGATGTAAAGTCGGAATTCATGCCCAAGTCCGACGAGGTGCTTTTCTGTCGATTGTCCGAAGAACAGCGTTTGTTGTATTCACAGTATTTGAGAAAAGACGTGGAGATGAAAAGGCTCTTGAAAATTCGGCGGTTGCCTAACGAACGGTCTGGAGCGCATCTGCACATAACTCGTTTGACGCAAATTTGTAATCATCCCGATATATACTTGTCGAATTTGGACAGATGTCTAACGGAAAATCACGGTTACGTGTATGGAGAAGCGAAAAGATCGGGAAAAATGATTGTCGTAAAGGCACTTTTGGCCGAGTGGGAAAGAAAGGAAAACAAAGTTTTGCTGTTCTGTAGGTCTGCTCGCATGTTGGATATTCTCGAGACGTTTGTTTCGCGCGAAGGATACAACTATCGTCGTCTTGACGGATCGACGTCAATGCATATTCGGGACAAACGCATAAATGACTTTAATAACAACGAAAATGTATTTGTGTTTTTGTTGACGACTCAAGTCGGAGGTGTTGGTCTTAATCTGACAGGAGCCGATCGTGTTATCATATACGATCCTGATTGGAATCCGTCGACCGATGATCAGGCGACTCAGAGAGCATTGAGATACGGACAGACTAAACCTGTATCCATATATAGGTTGATGACTGTTGGTACGATTGAAGAAAAGATTTATCACAGGCAAGTTTTCAAGCGAGCGCTTGCAAGAAAAGTCACAAGAAAACCAGACCTTGATGATATTCAATTTGAAGTAAGTGTTTTCTAGTGGTAATAGGGGTCAAATTGAAACTCTGGCATTCGGCAACTGACGTGTCTGATATGGTTGTCTATATATAGGCGGATGAGTTACACGATTTGTTTTCTCTTGGCGGCGAAGACGAAGAATTGACTGATACTAGATACATGTTTGAAGATGCAGAAATCCGAAAAGTTCGGTTACCTAAATCTAAAAAAGCCAATAGTAATAGTGTTTCGAAGCAATTAAAGAACGGGTCATCAGTCCTTGATCAAGACGAGCTAGTAGCAGTATTTGATTATAGTACCAATCAGATAATATATGTTCGTCGCTCTACCCAGCAGGAAGAAGATTTACATCCTCCTGAAACATCAGACAAGAAGGAGCAGGACATTGGCGAACTTTTAAAGAAACTTCCCAAGATTAAAAAGAAAATACGACTCGATGACCCCGTTTCCGGAGATGCTGATTTGCCTAATGGGTCCTCTAGCTTTAATAATTCCGATGGATCTAGTACGATGGCTAATGGATCGTCATCTCTGCCGAATCGAAGGAAACGCCGGCGATTTGAATTATTTAAAGCAACGGAAAAGAAAAAGACTCCTACCGTGAATAATGTAGAAGGTGTTGCTCGCATAGAATTTCGTAACAATTCTGATGACAAAGATAACAAAGGACGCGACGTGCGAAGGAGAAGAGCCGATAGTTCTAGCGAAGAAGAAAAAGAGGAAGGAAATGACGACAGCCATATTATACAAGTACTGTACGAGACAGCTGGGCTGCATTCCGCTTTTAATCATGAACGTGTTGTACGCGCAAAGGGAAAGAAATCGCGGATGTCAATGGCAGATATCGACTCTGTGGCCGAGTCAGTTGCAAACGATGCCGATCATCATCTTGACGAGAACGCTGACTTTCTCGCACGTTACGGTCCGGGGACGCTTACTTTTACTGGACGAAATGGTAATAAATACGTCGCTTATCTCTTCAGTCCAAACGTCATTATCGGTATTAACTAAAAATGCATATCTAATAGGGGAGGCTGGTATACCTAAAAAGAGTTCCAGTAGTCGTAATACTGCTTGGTCGCTGTACAAGAAAGGGTGGAACAAGTGATAAGAAGACGAGGCGTCCAAATTGCATTTAGAATAGATTAGAGCATATATATATAATTATATAATTCTTAAACTTGCATTTGCCGGCATCACATGGTTTTTCCTTACAAGTCAAAAGTGTACATATAATCTTTCTTGTTTCCTCTCAGATCACATTGCATAAAAGATGAAATAAAGTGTACAATATTAGCTAGATTTCCTCCTTCCATTAGAAGAGTTACCATCTAGTTTTGTTTGGTAGTCGCACAAACAATCGAAAACTTGCTTGCTAAAACGCGGCGCAACAGATAGTAATAGTAAAAAGCATACCCCAATGTTCTATTTTACGACCGCGACCTGTCACGTCTTTTTTATTTTTAATCGGAAGCAAGTACCGAAATCAATTATCAAAGATTAAGTTTTACAGATAAATTATCCCATGTTGCAAAGAGCAATGGATCTAAATATTTTTGATACTTGAACGTAATAATCCCCATACTAGTCGGATATAATTATAAACTTAAATTAATGCCCGGAAGCGCCAAGACTAAACCACTATGACATCTCCTATACATCCGGCACACCTTCCAATCTCAAACTCGTTACTAAATTGAGCTGCAGAGTATCGTCGACTACCCTCCTCCAATCTCTCTGACGAAAAGCTACTTCGCGAACTTCGAGACGAAGACGCGTATCGATCCGTTTGTATCAATAACCCGTTATAAGCCGTTTGAAGTCGCGATATCCTTCTCTCGAATACCTGTATCTTGTCCCGCTCTTGCTGTAACTGAATCTGTAATTCTTTTTCAAAAGGAGTCGAAGATGTGCTGGCAACAACGCGCTCAACCATGTCTGTAGAAGATCCACCGTTGGGAAATTCTTGACCTTGCAACGATTCATATTCCATGCGATGAAATGTTGCTTGTTCGGATAGTCTAGCGGACCTCGACTGTTCGTCTTCAATCTCCATGCTTAATTGCTCGAGACGCTCACGGTACTGGAGAATTTCCAACTCATATTTAGCAACCCGTGATCGTTCTCTATCGACTTCTTCAGCAAGAGATAATTTATCGTTGCTTATCTCTATAAATTTCTCCCGCAGCTCGGTTAACTGAGACATACAGCTTCGATTTTCTAATGTAAGATCATCGACTTTTTTGGTAAGATCCCTTACTCGCTTTGATAATTTCGCGTTTTCGTTTTGAGTGGATTGCAACTCGGTGGATAATTTATCCCGCTCGGACTGGACCGTTTCTGCATACGTCGACATCTGCAAGCCCTCTTGACGGAGTGTTGCAAGTTCAGTTTTTTGATCATTATAAGAAGGCTGTAGTTCTTGGAGCGTTTTTGTCAATTCGGCTTTTTCTGATGAAAGCGATTCTACTTGTGCTTGTAAATCTCTTAATTTATTCTCGGCTTCTTTTGTAACGTGTTCGGCATTAGCAGCCTTTTCGCTCTCTTCCGAGAGTTTCTGGTTCGTGTTTGTTAGGCGATGTCGTAAATCTGATAATTCCATTTCCAATGCCTCGCAACGATCTTCTTTATCCTGAAGCGATTTCTGAATAGCTTCAACTTCCTCAGAAGATGAGCGTATTCTAGCCTTTTCAGCAGTCAACTGTTCAATTATCGAATCTTTTGTCTCGATAATATTATCCTATAAAAAAAATCGAGTAATTTTTAGTATCACTCATGAGGCTTTTCATGCGTAGAGATACGTATTATCAATTACCTTTGACTGCACCATTTCTAATAATTTTTGTCTTTCCTTTGCAGTTTCTTCCAAGTTGTCCTCCCCTTCGCGGACCTTTTGTTCAAGTTCTGCAATCTTTCGTTGCAACGCACCCACGAGTAACTGGCCCTCTTCGAGAAGTAACTCGCTATTTTGATATCGATCCGCCATGGCTGAATAATTCTGAAGCTCGTTGGTGAGCGCGGTCTTTTCTTCAACAAGCACGCCTATCGTCTGTCGCTGCATTTGACATATGTTTGCAAGTTCTTCGTATGTGACTGGTCCATCGATTGAGGATGAGCCATCGACAACCGTTGCGTCAAAAATAGCTTGTGGCAAAGGAATCGTGGCTTGTTGGCTGTGTGGCTCAGAAACTGGTTGTAATCCTTCCACCAAAGTACTATGTGGCGTCTGGCTTGTTGTCGAATGTGACGCTCTATCGCTTTTGTATTCTCTGGAAAATGAGTGGTATTAAAGAGTGCAAAACAATAAATCGCGGTTATATTGTTTCACGGAACTCACTGTACGTCCTGCAATGAGAGATTATTTGAAGCCTTGTGGCTTCTGCCCTTGTCAGCGTTCTGATTCGATCTAATCCATTAAGATACTTGCATTTAATTAAACGTATCGAAGACACAAGTCTGCACGCCAACAAGCCTTGTATAAACCTACGATCTGTAAGCCAACTTTCGTCACTTACTCGTTAGCTTTAGTATCTGGAAAGTCTGTCTGTACGTTGCCAATGTCTGAGGCCACACTGGAAGTCCTAGTACGACTCGACTCTTCGCTCAATCTGCGGCTTGGTCCACCGGAAGCTGAAGTATTGGCGGCTTTCTTTTTTTGAAACTTTCTCAACTGTGGGGTGAGAACGAATCAGCACTGTTGATCTGGACTGGCACAATCGCAAAACGTTATAAATGACCTTTGACTTTGCAGCCAAGATTTTTTCCTCGCGTGTTGCATCGGTCTCCATCTAAATGTTTTGGTATTAGCTAGAGAGGAATTCTCTTGACACCTGCTGTAACATCATTGGATGTTATCTAATTGCGAGCAATACTATATTTAGGCATCAGTATCGTGTCACAAACAACTGACCAATGATACGAGTCTTAATGTGTAATAAAATAGAACAATGCAATTTTTAACGCTATGTCGAGCTTTCACGGCCGCTTTTGAGCATAATATTTCAATTAGACATTATGGTTCGGTGCAAAAATATCCGTACCTCACAATAATCTTAATAAAAACAGTTCTTACATATTAAAATTTTTTT